TACCTTGTAGTAGTGCAGCAATCCCCGAAGAAACTTGTGGGTGGGGGTGGCGAATCCCCGCTCGTGGAAGTGAGCGAAGGACACGACGTAGCCGTCGGGCGATGATGGCGCGTCCTCATCGCAGGGCAGCCGCCACTCCTCGGCTGCGATCCGCGCGCAAAGAAGACCATGGCAAACGAGGCCCTCCAGACGCTGGAGGGTGATATCGGAGCGGCACCACGGCTCCATTGGAGGATTGGAGTGGTGGATGCGAATTCGACGACGACTGAAACGTGGATGTGGGAGGCGTAGGCGATTGGCGGGGGAGGTTGTAGATGCAAAGGCAAGGAGGCAAAGTATGAAACCTTGGGGGAGAACCCTTTGGTTTTATAGGGGCGACAGATGCGAGGAAGGCAACCGTCCGCCTAGATCTCCGCACCTGCCACGATCCGCCACCACGTCACATCGCGGGATATGCGCCCGCAATCTCTATCCTTTCCCTCCGAAGGCACGCCGAACGTTTTGCCTCCCCGGGCAAACCAGGACTTTTTCCAGCAAAAGGGATACAGGTCAAAAAACGTTCATCTGGCCTGCCTGGGCCTAGGAGTTCAAGGGCTGGCCCATCAACGGTTTCGATGGCCGTCTCGTGGCACCCTTACGACAAAGGATGGGCCCACGAGCGGTTGAAACTTAGGCGCACGAGCTTCATGGGAGTCTCGGCCCACAATCGAGTCTCTGCCAGGCTGACCCTGGATGGATCCCCATGAACGGGATACCAGGATCCCAATTGAGCTATCCGGCTAACAACCATCAAATCTCATGACCAAACCCGCGAGGGGTCCGGCCTTGGCGAAGAAGAAATCGCCATCTTCAGGGCACGCCGGGGACAACAATAGAGGGTCAGGGCTCTCAGAACCCTCTTGTTAAGAAAACCCTCCGAAGGAGTATCCTACTCCTCCGTAGGCTCATGGGCTACACCCACCGGGTGCGCTCGCGCGCACCCACTGGCAAGTCAAAAAAAACACCAGGCCATTCTACTCGAATCGCCTGAGGGCTCGGGGGCTACTATCGGGGACCAATATTAGGGTACCCGAAGAGGAGGAGCTAATGACCGTCAACGTTGATTCATCCGCACAATCGAGAGCGTGACTACACCGCTTGCCGGGTCACTCCTCGTCCATCGACCGAGACCATGGGCCCCGCCTCAAGTTGGCTCCCGAGGGCTGGCTTCGCCTTGCCCGACGTCTGAGGGCAGACTCCATCTCGCCCGACCCCCGAGGGCTGGCTCCACCTCACCCAAGCCCTGAGGGCTGGCTCCGCCTCACCCAACGTCCGGGGGCTAGCTCCGCCTCGCCCGATGTCTGTGCACTGCTCCTGCATAACTACGCGCACGGATAAGACAGGGCACTCAAGTTAAACATAATATCAAGGACCATACCCTACACATCTATAGGAAAGTACTGTTAGGATATGACAAGACGGGCGCTTTAAGCCCTTCCAGGCATGTCAGAGCCTGAACAGTGTTGTAGGCGCTGACATTTGTCTTATAGTGTTGTGGGCGCCGTCATTTGCCCTCGGGCATGGATCCTGACGAAAGCACACGACAACCACTACAGTCTAGGAGGAGACTCGCTTCATCTACAGTAACGAACATGCAGTCACTACACCGTCTACTCTCCGTAGGGTCATGGATCAGCACCCTGGTCTGTCGCGTCGCCCACCGGGGCAGGATGGGACGTGACCACTTGCTAACGAAGCCAGAACATGGCATCATCAGCGGACAGGCGCCCAGCGCAGCCCTATCAGGATCAGTGGACATGCACCTAGCATGGAGCTAGCCCTGGCACCGTCTGTCATGTCAGCGGGGCTCGCTCAGAGGAAAAGAAAGACCCGGCATCTTTGAAGGACCTCCCTGGCCTCTGGTTTTTCTTTTTTCTCCTATCTGTAATCCCTGCTTCCCCTTGGTCTATAAAAGGGAAGGCAGGACACCCCATTAAAGGGGGGATCGATTGAACACACCACGTATCACATCGCATAGAGCTGAGCAGCAACCAAGCTCTCAGCACCCATTCAACCTTTCCATCAGAGACTTGTGATCTTTCCCTCTCTCGCCCATTTGTAACCCCTACTACAAACTTTTCAGTGCAAATAACACGAGCAGCAGCCACGAACTGGACGTAGGGACATTCTGCCTGAACAAGTATAAACCTTGTGTCTTTTTAGCACACCGTCCGGGCCAGACGCGTAATAATACAAATTTACTAGTTGGTGTTTACTCGAAACACCGACAGCCTTCTTCTCCCTCGCTTTTCTCCTTTTCTCTCTGTAACCTGCGCCTTCCCCTTCACCTATAAAAGGAGAAGCAGGACGCCCCAATAGGGGGCACGAGCGCACATCTGAACAAACTCTCAGCACTTTTCAATGCACCAGAGACCTGGGGTTCGCTCCCTCTCTCGCCCGTTTGTAACCCCTACTACAAACTAGTGCCGATAACACGAGCAGCAGCAGACTGGACGTAGGGATATTCCACCCGAACTAGTATAAATCCTTGTATCCTCCGAACACACCATCCGGACCAGACGTGCAGGTATAAATTTACTGGCCGGTGATCCGAAACACCGACACCATGCTTACCTAGTGCATCTAAGGCCTCTTAGTCAGACTCCGCGAAAATGAGGGGAGCGACCATTTTCCTAGAGCCAGGCTGGGATAAGCCATCACTGGAGACACGTCACTTCCCCACCACAGTTGTCGTCCCCATGTCCTCGCCCCAAAGCGGAGCCAGCGGACCTCGTCGGCAATGGCGGCGGCGGCCTGCTTGAATGCCACTAAGGAGCACAAGGCGCTCGAGGTCACCGCCGGTGACGCGAAGGTCATCACTCTTGCCAACTACTGAGCACTAGCTCAAAAATCCCAATAGAGGTACCGGAAGGAAGGGATAGTAGAACTAGCTTTGAGGCCTTGTCAATGACTTTATTGCTTGGGTTAGTTGCCCTGGGTCAAAAGGGGACTACTCCAGAATCACATTAAGTATATAGGAAACGTAAAGGGAGATGGGAGAACCAGGCAACAAAAAGGCTGAAGGAAGTTCTCTTTCCATTCCAACTAAACTAAGTGAAAAAAGGGATAGAGCAAATTGTTGATGAACAAAGAAAATATCTCCAAACCAACGACTCATTTCCTTTGGTCGACTCTAAAGAATGTATCAGGAGTTGGGAGTTAGCCGTCTCATGGGGGGGCTAAGGAGAAGCGCTAGCTTCGAACGAAAGCTGCGACCTTGTCGGGGTCGGGCCCAATCCGGCAGCGGTTGATGACCTTGTCAATGGGGAGGGAGTGGAGGAGTCAAAGAGGAAGGATAGAATCCACTTTGGTGACGGCGGTGGATGACCCTCACCTGGCCAACTTCGATCTGGCACCACAAGACATGTGATCTCATCAAGGAGGCTTGTTTGGGGTTGCTGTAGAGAGGATCGATGGCAGTGACGACGATGTGATATACTGGTTTAGCAAAGCAGTCCAGTGAGGAGGACGAGGAGCACACAAAATTGGACGAGGAAGACAAGGGTCAAAGGATGCATGTAGGAGGAAGTTGTGAATGGGAAGACGAGATGGGTGGCATGGAAAATATCGGCGAGGTGACGACAACACTGGCATAGAAGAGCCATGACCTTGCCATTCACATGTTGTGATCCGATTATAGTAGCATGAGGCAGTAAGCACACGCAGATCCTCCCATGGTTAGGGATCTGATTGTTCATGTGATATTTTTGTTTTTGTCTAAGAGGGAATAAATTTCCTTGTGCCATTGAACGCTTTTATCATTTTTTTATATATTTGGCAGTAGTTTATCATTTTGTCGTTCGTTTTTTCATCGCTGTATGAACTTCCATATCCTATGCACACGTGCCCGATGCATATTATTTTCATGCACCATTGTTAAAATTCTTTTATTTAGATATAATAATCAACCAATGCTTTGTTGATACAAGAGGACGAGCGCTAGCTCGGTCGGTAAATCGCTTTAAAAAATACTTTGTTGAGTGAGCGAGCAACAATTGTGCCAACAAGCGCGCTTAGCTTTCATCAATAAAACTTAGATGGAACTAGTCAACAACAATTCGATCCCAGGCAAATACATGCTGAGCCCAGCAAACACAGGCAAGCAGGTCATTAATTTATGACAACCAGGAGTATATGACATAAAAGCACATATACATATAGTACTAGGGGTGGGGGGGCGTAGGTATTGAGATGCAGCCTTTTCTTTTTATATGAACAGAATGAAGGCCATAAACACCAGAGCTCTGAACCAGTTTTTCTATAGAAGATATATATAGTATCAAGAACAGGACTAAAAGACCAAAAACACTTCATTGTTTTCATGTAAATAAATACAAAATTGATGACAAGCTGCATGAATCACAGAAAATGACTCTCCAAATGTCAATTCTTACTGGCCAACATGATTTCAAGATTCAATTTCACTGGAACAAAGAATGATTTTATAAAACTAGATTAAGCCTCTTATAGGTTGTTCTATTTTAAAAGAACAAAGCTTAAAAGCCTAAATATTTTGATTGAAAAACTAGTTCTAGAAATGAGTTCAAGCTTGATCAATATCAGCACTTGCCTGAACCGCAGAAGACTGAAAACATAAAACCAGTGATGTCTACGTCCCACAAAAACTACATTGGCAACCACAAAAACTACATTGGCAACAACGCTAGCCAACGGCTTGACACCGAACACAGCACTCAATTCACAAGCAGAATCATCTGTGTGCATGCATAATACAGACAATATAGAATAAGAAAATGACAAAAGAGCTGGGGTTCAATAAACCAGGCACCTCGCATTTCTGCCCCCAAACAACTACATTTCTTAGTAATTTTCATTGTTCACTGAAACCAAAACCACAGATATAGGTCTCAAAAAGTCTAAACATTTGCAAAGACAAGAACTAATACGACTGCCAGCGGCATAATAGTTCCAGTGCAAGTGCACCAGGATACAAGCTCCACTCAACGGTTGGCCTTGGCAACACGCTCAATCTCATCCTTCTTCTTGATGGCGTAGCTGTAACAAGGATGCCATGAATGAGCACAATTTCACATCGCATGGAATGACTCAAAAACACTAACAGATAGGAATGAAGCAACCCAAATGTAACCAGAAAACACATATACCTGTTGGAAGAGCCCTTGGCAGCATTGATCAACTCATCTGCAAGGCACTCAGCAATGGTTTTGATGTTCCTGAAAGCGCTCTCCCTGGCACCAGTGGTGAGGAGGTAGATGGCCTGGTTCACCCTCCTCAGGGGTGAGATATCCACAGCCTGCCTCCTCACAACACCAGCAGAACCAATACGGGTGGCATCCTCACGGGGTCCACTGCAAGACAATAGCAGCACATCACGTCAGTTTGACACCACGAGACAACATGTAAACAATAGTTTGAGCTATATTTTGACATCTCAAAGCACATCATTTTGGCTGGCGCGGTGTAAACAACTAAATGGAGCATTCTTGACATAAAAAATAAAAGTAACACGCACCATGAAAACAAGTGCGCATAAAAGTACTCTTAGATAATATACCAGACAATAAATTCACATTTTGATTGGAATTGGAAACAGTACAGTGCTTCACCATATTGATCAACTATGAGTCACAGCTTCAAAGATCTAACATGTACAACAGCACAATCTGATATAACGGAGAACTGTGCATTTCAAATTTCAACAGCTGGGCATTTGTCCAAGATCATGCTATCAGATGTATAATAGTAACTGGAACCAGAACAGAACTAATTTATAGATTTGATATCATAGCCCTATCAAAGAACACTCCCTTTCGAGAGGAAGGAATTATACATGAATTTAATAGGAATCAGTTCAATTACACAGGAAAAACTCAGGATCCACGAAAAGTTCCGCATTTCTAAGGGGGTTTACATATAGTTATATTAAGTCTAACGGCTATTAGGCTCACAGGTCGGGTACAGAGAATTTGGGAGTGAGGACGGGGGAGCATGACAGTACCTGTTGATGATCGCGTCCACGATCACCTGGATGGGGTTGGCGTCAGTGAGCAGGTGGATGATCTCCAGGGTGTGCTTGATGATGCGGACGGCCATGACCTTCTTGCCGTTGTTGCGGCCGTGCATCATGAGGGAGTTGGTGAGGCGCTCGACGATGGGGCACTGCGCCTTGCGGAACCGCTTCTTGGAGTAGCGGCCCGCGGTGTGCGGCAGGAACGTCGCGTGCTTCGTCGGCGACACCGCCAGGTAGTCGTTCAGCGAGATGTCGTTCACCTGTAGATTTTCCATTCAAGTTCAATTCAATCCACTGCTAGCAGCAGCAGCAGGGCTGAAGAATCGAAGCAGAGATGCGAAGAGCCATTCGCGTACCTGGACATCATCGAAGGTCCAGCGGTTGAAGAGCTTCACCACGTCCTGCTGCTGCTCCACCTCCGCCATGGCTGGGATCGAGAGAGCGATGTGCTGCGGCGGCGGCGGCTGGGAGCGACGAAACCCTAAGGAAGGATCCGCTCGCGGGGACGCGAGGTGGGTTTTAATAGGGGAGAGCCTCCCGGGCTAGGGTTTCTGATCCGACGGCTGTCCGCTCATCTGCTGGACGGTCACTGATAATCGGTCCATGGCATCCCATAAGCGGATCGGGTTTCGGTCCTTAGGCCTTTGGGCCCATTCTCGGTTTTTGTTGCGAAAACAGTCCATTCTAAGTGGGCTGGGTTTTCTTAACTCCTTTCGTTCATATATCGTTCTTGGCGCAAAAGACAGCACGGTGTCCTCTCAAAAAAGAAAAGAAAAAACACGGTACGAACAAGAATGAAAAAAAAATCTGAAATGTGAAGAAGTGACTTCCATATGACATTTGCAAACAACAAACATTTGCAAACAACAAGAAAAAGAATGGCATTTCAGCTCGACCATCGCTATGGCAAAACGGAAAAACATCTGGCATAAACATAATGTTACTCATTATCAATGTCGAAAACACAAAAAATCTTAACTAATTCTTCACGAAAATATTTAACTAAGGAAAAAAAATTATGAACACAAATACTCAAATATTGTAAAGGCTTTAGAAGGACATGTCTCTAACTTTAATTACTTAATATTCACTAAATTATGCAACATAGTCACGGTTACAATCAACATTCATATTCATTTGACTCTCAATATTTAACAGTTTAATGTTTTATTAAGTAAAGAACATGTTGGAAAGGCACGGATTATACTCCTCTAGAGAAAGGAATGGATATTTGTCTTTATCACAATTAGTAGTGATGAAATACTTTGCAATTAAGCCAACCGTGGTGTTTAGTACAGCTAAAGTGGTAATATTGGAACAATTGGTAATGACGTAGTAAGATACTCTCGAAAAAGCTATAGCTGGCTATTTACAACAATATTATTTAGCTTGCTCCTAGCACTAGAGCTATGATATAGTATTCTGCAGTTCTGATCTTACAACCGCAGCCACAGCCAAAAATAGAGCCATTACCATCTCTGCAGATATTTCCAACAAAACCACTCTCCAAACGAAGTTGAATACTAATATTTTTTACCAGTGTCAAATCCAGCCATTAAGCTGCAAAATCTGCAGCTGAAGCACATAAACCCATCAACATAAAGTCATGCACGAAATGGAGTCAACTACAAAAGAAGAAAAAAACAGTAGATTTTTATTCATTGCATACAGTGATATAAAGAATAAAGGAAAATTTGCTACAGGATATGCAAAACGAAGTTGTTCTGCTGCGAGGTAAAAAAAAACAATTTGCTGGTGGATACTATTATAATTTTGTAAAAAATTGCTACCAGAGACGGTTTAGAGTCCACCAGCAAAATGTTCTGTAATGTTGTAGGAATTTCAAAAAAAAAAAAATTGTCTCCAGCAAAAACAACATCATTATGTATGCCATGTATGTCTTTCCTCGTTTCTTCCTCATTTCCAAACTGAAATTTGCCATCAAAGGAGGTGAAATGAACAAGGGCTCCGATCAAATCCATTCATGAGTACCACCATGTACAATTCAAGGAAAGAATACTGAATACCAATCCCTTCTCATGGAATGAACTCAAAAAGGGGTAACACAGATAGACACCTGACCAGACTTCAGAAGCTGGCTCCAGCTTAAACCAGCAATGGAACTCCTCACCTCTCATCATGCCGATTCAAACACATGTCTGAACCCTGTTGCTACGACCCTGCAAACTGAACCTGTACAATTTTAGCCAATTGCCTCTACCTACACTCTTCATATAGACAGCTCCACGCCGGGAGTGTGGTAGTGTTGCAACTGTCAATCGTGGTCACAGGTGCTGCAGCAGCATAAAAGGTCTCATTCAGGATTACGCAAATTAATGACCTTGACTAGATCTATCTATGCAGGAAGAGCTGAGCATATGAGTTGAAGATACTACATTGCAATGAACCATCATGTCCAGAACCTCCATCCATCAAGGCTACCTAGAACTGCTTGACTCCTGTATCTCCCCAACTCTTTCAATTTCAACTGCATGATGTGGTACCTTTGCACAAAATCTATTTGTCAGGAATTTTAACCAAGTATAGCATAAGCAGCATTTAGCAAAACAAATGGATGAAGAAACGAACATCCTAAGCTGCACAAAGTACGTATTATGGTATAAACATACTCTACAGCACCGATTCACTAAATATCAGATATGTGAGGATCTTCTGAAGAACAAGAAATAATATACCATGTCACCAGGCTTATTAGGTTTGCTCCCATTCGAGGCTCCTCTTCTCATTGGTTTTCTTGTCTTGTGGAAGGATCCATGGAGGGAATCCATCACCGAGCCTTCAGGCCACTTGCCACTTCTATCTGTTGGATCCAAGTTGCTTGGACCCCAGGTGTACATGACAAACTTCCGAACCTGTTAGCAGTGAAATCAGTAGAGCTTATTGATCAAGGAGACATATGGATTGATATGGTAGTCATCTTTGGATCAAGATGTGCTTTACCTTGTTCCAGTTTCGTTGAGCACGTTGTTTGCTCAAAATATTGAGCATTCTGGTATCCTCATCTCGGAGCTTCTTTATCCTGCCTTCACACTGAAAAGTAAACTTGTCAATTACACAAGCAGTTGCACACTAAATCAGTGTACATGGTAATTCTTTAGTTTCGGTGTCACAAAGGGTCAGAAGTTTCGCATAGTGACTGAATGACAATACCAAATAGTTGTATTGATGAATCTGAAGTGGACCAGTAAATGGTAAAATGGGATTTAAAACAATCAGATATTGAAGTTTTAGGCTTTCGTTTGAAAAAAAAATGAAGTTTTAATCTAACAAGTAACATGACTGTAGAAAGAGTTTCACAAATGAAAATGATGGAAAAGCATTGACATAACTTAACCACAAATACGGGTAACATGACTTACTTGAGCCATGAGGCAGAGAAAAATTGCTACACTGAAGGCATACAGGCCACCAATACTCGCAAGTATACTGACTGCAGATAAAAACTACCATAGATGTGAAAAATTTAAAGTGGAAGTACACAGATTATTAGCTCAAGTTCAATTTCATAACTCGTAATCAATTTCATAACTCGTATGACTTGTAGTGAATTCTATTGGGCACTTGAGAGAACATTATCATATGGTCCCACAGGATCACAAAACAAGGAGTATTTAACTGTGGAGTCACAAAGGTGTGGTCTATTGCTTCATTTATGTTTTTTGGTTGTTTTAATTTTCATGCACACAGGAAATCAACCTACCAAAATGACCTAAAATATGCTTCTGAATTAAATATTTTCAGAACTGGAGCAATAATGCAAGATGAGTTGTTGTACCAGGTTCTTGATTGAGTTAATCTCAGAAAGCTATGCATTATTGCTCTACTAAGTGAGACTGATAACAATTTTGGACAAAATTTCCTGCACGCTTCACCATAAATATATGAACACGAAACAGTAAATCCACATCCCATTTTATGGTCTAAATCTAAACAATCCAGTCTCTCTGAAGTTTATACAGACCTAAATGTCTAAATATTTATCTATTCAAATGACACTACTGATGGGTATTTAGGTGACGTTTTGTTCGGCAAAATGTAACATAATCAGATTACGGTGGAGATCCGATTGTGATACGGCTGTTTGTTTCATCCCAGTCCGTTATGTCCCCGGTGATTTGTTTCCTTTACTATTTACGTTACCGGTCAGGGGAACCAAACTCCATCTTAGTAATATGATCTGTGTAATTATATCGATATCATTATCTGTAAGTGGTCAATGAGAAAATAAAAAACTTTGCTGCTCCATAGACTGGAACCAACATAACTTTGCTTGGTTTCATGAGATGCTCACCTGGGCCAAGCACATTTTCATTGCTGATCTCCACGATATAGTCAGAAAGATAACTTATGTAGAGTGTAGTATTTATTACTCCATCTCTAGGGTTCTGCAAGGAAGCATTCAAGCTGCTCAAATCTGATAAGGTAGAGCCTTGAGTGAAGTCCTGAACAAGCGGCTGCAAGAGCTTCAAGCCACGAAGGTTGTTGTATATTTGAGGAAACAATTGAATTTTGAGCACATTAGAATCTGGCCCTCTGAATGTTTTCAGCTTGGTATCAATGTAATTGTCAGAGCTTAAAGTACCGCTCACAAAGCTCATATCTTTATCATCTCCATGTTCCTTCGCAGTCAAGTTAAACTGGAAGCCGACAGCGGCAGCCGGTTGCCTTGGCAGGTCAACAAACTGCCAGGATACATAGTGGTCTCTTGGAGGGATTCGGCAGCCATTGCACTTCAGTGTAATTGATGGCCCCTCGCTCGTGTTCTGGCAACTGTAGGTCAAGAGTGTTGACAGAGGCAGCACCCTGAAGTCCATAAACCCAGGGGTTCCCATTGCTATTGTAGAAGGTGGCACTACTTGGGCGCAAGACATGCTTGAGATAGTGGTTATGTGAAACTCAAGGTCATTCACAAAATCCAGCAAATCCGGAGCATTAGCTGGTTTCACTCGATGTACTTGGGCGTTACGCCTGTGGATGGCTTGATACAGCAGACTACGACAATCAAGCAGAGAGTAATCCATGAGCTTTACTAATGGAGCAGCTAATTCCAATACATACAGAGAATAATATATAATGAGGTTGCTTACACTGTGACTAATCCAAGGAAGAGTATCACGGTAGCCACCGAGAACATGCCGCCCAGCTCTGTTTTTCTTTTCCTCAGTACTTGCTGATCATTCTGGAATTCAAGAGGGTACAACAATGCAACCTTCAGGGAAGAAGAGAAGATAGGGATTTTGTGGGACAATGGGCAAATTAATGTCCCGTTTGATGTGGTCATGTTCAATTACGACAGGATTACGAGGATCTTTGTTCATTCAACTGGCAGGATATTTTCATTTTCATGTACTGTAATGTAATGCACGTATGGTAAGGAGAAAGGTGTGATGTAATGCACGTATGGTTCGAAGAAAGGTAAAGCAGGGTCATATTCACTAATTCACAGATATGTGAACGTCAAAGGCAAGACGAGATGGATAGGTCAAGTTGACCCAGAAAGGAAGGGAAATTCCAAGAAATCCAAGGATAGCAGTGCCATGGAAACGAAGCAACCCAAGGCGTAAAAAGCGCGTGTACAAAGTGGCGAAGCAATCACAGATGGATTTTATAATCCGAAACGCGGCGGCGAAGCAAACCAAGCGAAGCGGGGAATTCCGAACGGAAAAAGCTAACCTACAACTGGTGTTTTGGGGATCGGAAAGAATAAGCAGCAGCAGAGAGGAGGGGAAACGAGTGAAATTGCAAGGTTCACTGTTCACTAATGGAGTCGAAATAAATTGATTAGAGATAGAATTCTTGCGATGAAAAATGTGAGAAGAATGGGAGGAAATCAGTAAGATGCTGGAGTAGGTTTTAAGGGCACAGACCGCATAGTGGTTGTTGTCGAAGATGCAGTCGAGGCGGCTGACCCAGAACCGGGCGCCGAAGAGCTTCTTGTGGCGGGCGGGGTCCTGGCCCGCGAACCTGGCGGCGGCGCAGAAGGCGAACCAGGAGAGCAGCGTGGCGAGCGCGACCCAGAGGAGGACGGCCTGGGACTGGGTGAGGCGGCGGACGACGTCGAGGGAGAGGACCGGGGTCAGGAAGTAGAAGCTCTGGTTCTTGGACGCGCCCACGGACCCGACCTGCCAGTCGCCGAACCCGTCGCCGCCGCGGGGCAATGACACGCAGCTGGTGCTGGCGCTGCTTCCGTTGCCGCCGCCGGTGGAGTTGGTGAAGAGGTAGTACCCGGGGTCGCAGGCGCAGAGAGTGGCGTTGTAGACGAACATGTGCGCCGCCGCGCACGCCATGGCTGGAGAAAGCGCCTGCCTTTCTGCTGCTGGCGGGGCAAGATCGGCCGGCAGCTGCTAACGGAATGAAGGACGGTGACTCAACCAACTGCCGCGCTGGAGCCTTGGGCTGGACCGCTGGAGGTATGGCGATGCTGAATTCCTAATCAACCGACCGGTCAATCACATCAGCGTCCGGAAGGCGGGCGGCTAACTCAGCTTCTGGTCCTCCAACCACCGGAAAGGGCGAGAGAAGCCAGGAGAAGAGGGAAAGGAGCTGAGGCGGGCAATCAAGATTGGTCAAGCAAGGAAGACATGGATGGAAAAGCCGGGTGCCTAGGAATCGAATCGGGTGCTTTGCTTTGCTGTGCTCTGGGCTGCCATGTGCAAGCTCCGAAGGTCCAATCCCCTGCCTTTCTCCGCCGGCTGGCTGGAGGCTGGAGCTGGTGGGGCAGAAGGACAGAGAAGGGAAGAAGAGTCCACCAGGTTCCTTCAGCACGATCTCAGAGTGGAGTAGATACGAGCCGTTGTCGGCCAGCTCAACCTCCTCCTTTGTTTATTTTCATTTTAGAAAAAAATTTGTTGACAGGTAGGACTCGATATGGAGCTAAGCTATTTGAAAGTACTAACAGTTTTGCGAGGGATTTGGAGGTACACGATAGAGTTTCAGCTCTTTTTGCCATTGTAAATTCTATAGAAATTTAAGATGAATACTGCAATCTCTAGTATTTTGCCACACGAAATTCTCATAGACAACAGCTAAATAAGGGCCTGTTTGGAACACATGAATTTTATAGAAATTGTGTAGAATTGTACATAAATTAATTTGATTTTATAGAAAAAATACAAGAATAGGAAAAAAAATTATACGTTCCAAACAGGCCCTAATGGTTTATAAAACTCCACGATGCAACCTTGCCCTCCTGATACTCAAGACCAAGAGGTTAACCATTACCACGCCACAGCTTAGGCGAGCATAGTTTGCTACGTCGTTTACTCCTCTATCACAACTGCGGCTTGCCACATTTTTTTTAATATATGCTTTTTTCTACATAATTTTTATGTGTTATGCAGAAATTTCTATACAAATTCCAAATTCATTATATAGGGTAGCAATTGCAAGTGTCAAACAACTTTGGTTCTTTTTATTCTATCTGTCTACATTTTGAGAAATCCTGCAGGCAGCTAGTTAGAGCGTGACCTAACCACTCGTCCCCTCCTCGATAGATGGATGCTAAACGACCTTAAGCCTGTTTCTCCTACGTCTTGAGGGAAGAGTTAGTAGTGGCTTTCTCTTACTCCAATGTGCACTATATAGCCTCCCGGCCTGATAGGGCTGAAAACAATCACACTCCAGGCTTGAGCCTACAATGGGCCAGTTTTAGAAAGAGTGTTCTTCTAGCTCACCTCGAGCTTCATCTTTTTGGCACTTCAATTGTGCAACCTCGACAAGTAACGTCTGATCTGATTCTCTTCCCTAGGGTTGAAGAGTTCTAGATGGGATGTGCTGATAAAATCAGACTTTCCCATAGAATAGGCCTTTAGACTCAGTTGATTAACGAATCAAGACAACTAAACCAAACCATACGCGCGCACCCTCTGATCGGCTCAAAGCAAGGAACAAACATACCTGACCAATGGGGTTATTATCTTGTCAAAAACCTTGAGGATCAGGCCATCTTCTCCAAGCAAAACTCTAGAGCTCCCTTAACGAGCCTGGAGTCGATGGAGGCAGACTTGGAGGAGCCAAGGCTCTTGTTCCATTTGGCGTTCTTAGCATCATCATCAATCATCCACTCAGACTCTTTGGTCCTGAGCGGACCTCCACATGATTTTGATGAATCCGACCCATAGAAACAAGTCACGGGGAATCTTCTCGCCCTCTGGCTTCCATGATCTGTTAGAGACTGCTATGAGGGGAAAGTTAGCATATCCCCACGCATGCAAGGCTAGCCCCTCCAAGAAGCCGACTGGATGTAAGATTTACCTAGATTCATACCCTTAGCAAGGGGTAAAAGTCCTATGTCATGCTTAGTCCAAATAACTCAGATCCACTTTACATTGTGAACCACACATTCCTACCAACCCGCATATGTTTTATGCTTTCATCAACGATTCATGTAAACGAGTTAACCTAGGTTGGGCCTATGAATATCTAGAAGTCCTATATCGTTGGTTTAACCTAAATCAACAACCAACGTGAAATTAAACTCCATAATTTCACATCAGCACACACGTAGGGCCACCATGGGTCCAATTTAGGATGCATTTGGTAGGGATCTAGATTCTTGTAGAAACATTTTAGATCTAAATTCTCTCAAAAAATATTTTGGAGGTGAATTAGAATCACTTCATGAAATCATTTGGTTGGTAGGCTAGATTATGATAACACATATGAGAGAATCGGCGTGAAACCACACTTTGATCGATTTAGGAACTCAGACACAATGGGTTAAACGTTTTGCTCTTCACCCGTTTAGCACCATTCCAAGCGATTCTCAGAAGAATCGGAACGGTTTCTACCAACCAAATGACCCCTTAAAGTAGGCTAGATAAGAAGTTAACGAGACAGAGAGAGAAGCTAGCGTATCTAAGATTTAGAGTCAAGGTGGTCCGATAAAAACAAAATATAGGATGATTTATATACACTTCTCATAATTTTAGCTAGCTCATCTATAGTTTAACCTCAAACCAAATTTTAAAGTGTTCCATGGACCAAAGTGTCACCTAGATTGCTCTGACTGCTATACTCAAATCCTACTAAAAAGCGTGCTTGTGAACATGATGGATGGGACGAAAGCATCCCATGCGGTAAGGCCCTGTTCGCTATCAACTGCGGGAGGATGTGGACACACAAGAGAAGGCAGAGACCCTCAATGAAAAAAGAATCGCATACGTGATGCAGACTGCCTCCTATGAGAAGCAACACTCATAGAATTTTGTTCACATATCCTCGGTTTTTCTACGTTGCGGCCTTCACTGACCAAAAACACCGGTAGCGCTTGATGGACCTGTGTTAGGCCTTGTTTGAATACCTATGTATGCACCTCAATCTATATGTGTTGAAGTGGTTTGTTGTGGAATTTAAATTTAATTGCACACCAAGTTACACCGATATATATAAATTAAAGTAAATACATGTGCATCTAAGCAAGGTCTTACGTGGAATCGCAGACATACGGAATCACAATCGGAACGAATCGACATTCGATCGGTGCTGCATAGAAGGCGGTCTACGACATATACGGAGCAGTGAGTCCCTCTCTCGTTAGCGGCCTCAACTTCTATTCATGGAGTACTGGAGGCAGGCACAGCCTTGTCGGTTGCTGACCACCAATTCTATTCACATGGGTGTACAGTGTTATACTTCCTCCGTCTTAAACAAAATATAAAAATTGTTTTTAGCAATCATTTTTAAGTTTAACTGAATTTATATAAAAATAAATATTTATGTTATTAAATAAGTATCATTAGACTAATAATGAAATATATTTTATCATATTCTTCTTGGAGCCACAAATGCCCGGGGTATTTTCCCCAGAACTAGTTTTTTTTTTCATATGAGGGCTGCGTGCAAGGAGCAACACAAAGAGCACGAACATGTCACATAAGTAGCAAAATAGCATCACAATTCACAAGCACATATAGTATCATACAATGCATGACCTGAATGCAAAGATCACTAAAAGGGTTTCTATCAATCGTTAGAGCGCGTCAACAAGCACTTCTTTTCCTCTCACTCTCCGTGGGGGCGAATTTCAGTTGAGGTTAAAAAGGCTGTCCCACGCCAAAGCATAAGTATAAGAAACGGCCTTGTTCTCAAAAGACCCATTGTGTATATTTTGGACGGAAGTTCGGACTTTCCTGGACCTACGTGAGAAGGTTCTTCTTACATACGACCTTCAATGCGGTTCGGTTTGAAGATCATGCCTATTTGCCACCGTGTTTTTTCTTTCACAAAAAACAGCTTTTAGCCAAGTTGAGACCCATTGTGTATATTTTGGATGGAAGTACTGGTACATACGACCTGCAATGCGGCAGAAGATCATGCCCATGCCACCGTGTTTTGTAAAAAAACAGCTTTGCCAAGTTGAGAGAGAATTCCTAGGGCCCTTATTCTGTCATTCTCACGGAGCAAAGATTAGGGCAGGTCCAGAGTGGAGTTCGATTTTCAGGAAGCTGTGCCCTGCAAATTTGATGTTTGTCACGGTTGGTTCGGAACAAAACTAGAAAGGCCAACATATGAATTTTCGCCTGAGTTCGATGGCTGCAGTGTAGAAAATACAAATCGAACACTACTCTTCTCACGACACTACTAGAAACAGTGACTTTGCCGTATCCCACAGACACTCGACAAAGATAAAAAAATATTCGGCAAACAGCACACGTCATCTACAGTGTCGGCAAACGTCTCTTTGCCGAGTGTTTTCTATTGAGCACTCGGCAAATACTTTGTCGAGAGCTGAAATCGACGCTCGGCGAAAAAAAGTAGAGACGGTCACGACGCGTTTGCTCGAGTGTCCCGGACCTAACACTCGGCAAACCTGAATTCTTTGCCAAGTGTCCAATATCTGACACTCGGCAAACATGCCTTATTTGCCGAGTGTCAAATCCCAGGCACTCGGCAAACCTATCTTCTTTCCCGAGTATTAAACCCCGAGCACTCGGCAAACCTGCCATCTTTGTCAAGTGTTAAATACTGGACACTTGGCCCAGAACGTACAAATGTTGGCTTCTTTGCCCGAGTATCACAACGCAGACACTCGGCAAAGAAGCTATTTTAGACATAGAATACACATATTTTGGCCACGTATCCTCTTTGCCGAGTATTTTTACCCTAGCACTTGGCAAAAAGCCTCTTTGTCGAGTGTAACACTCAGCAAAGCGACCATATATTCCCTGTTTTTATTGTTCGGTCACATATAACGTACCCCACTCAAATAAACATTACATACATCACACATAGTTCACAATAAGCATCACATCCAGTTCATATAGATATATCGACAACACATAAATGC